TTTGTTTTTCTTAATGTAGTTGCGCTTTTAGATTTGTAGTTGCAGTTTGCACTTCAGGGCCACCATACATCTCTGCTTTTCTTTAACTAACGACGCCTTAAATTATACTTCCACATCACACCATAATAGGATTCAAGTTTGTGACTGAAATGTAACAAAATGTGTAAAATGGATACTTTCCCAAAGCCCTATACGTATCCAAATGGATACTTGTATTCTTAGTATTACAAAGTGTATATGCTCTGATATGAGTATGTCTCTAATATCATTGTTATTGTTTTCTTGCAGATACTGCAGATAAAACCAGCATGTCACTCCAGTCCCTGTTGATCAAACTCACTCTTCATCCTACTCATCCGTCATAGTAATGAGCTAAGCTGGTTTTTGTGTTTTTTAACACCAAAATTAAGCTTCTGTGATTTACCAATCATGATTTACCTATTTGCTTGGTTTAAAGAAGGTGCATCTTATTGAAGCTACTGTAGAGATATAAAATAGTGAAATTAAAGCAACAGTCCATAGAGTCGGCTTTCTCCGGTTTTATACCGTACGACAAAAAAGCGAAGAGATATAGCAACATAATCTCTGCCGTAGCATTCTGTCTTTTTTTTCTTTATTGTCATACGTACAGTGTCACAAGTACGATAGCATTCTGTCTTTTTTTTCTTTATTGTCATTACACAAGTACAGAGCAACGAAATGAACTCTCTGCATTTAACTCATCCCCTGGGAGCAGTTTGGGGTTAAGGGTCTTTGCTGAGGGACCCAGAGTATTAATCTGTGGGAGTGGGGCTTGAACTCAGAACCTCAGGATTCCAAATGCAATGCCCTAACCACTAGGCCATCACTCCCCACATCAGGTATGAGTGTGAAGGGTATTGCTTAAGGACGCACACCGGCAGCTCATTCCCCCCAGCCGGGATACGAACCCAGGCTTCCTATTTGCAAGACGGGTGACTCATCCTCTGCATTGCTCCGGTGTACTGCATAATAAGTACCGTTCGCTGACTGATTGCACCACTTGAGCTGCTATATTTGCCTAACATGGGACTAACTGTCTCAATAAAGACATGCTACTAGTTAACACGGTCGAAAATGAAGGATACAAGTGGTTCATTAAGGTACTCGACCCTTGTTACCAACACCCTAGGCGTAAATCTTTCTCTCAGACAGAAATTCCAAAGCTTTATTCAGATTACCGATAGATGTTTGAGAACAAGCTACAAAGTGTGTCATATTCTTTTGTTTGTTGTCTTTGAAAGGCACTTGAATATGCACCAAGGCTTTAAACAAGATATATTTTTTTATTCTGTTGGATTTGTAACTCTTTTTGTTTTTAACAACTTAAACAAAACTATATGAGAGACTGAGACTCTTTTTATTTGATGCTGATGGAATTGTTATACTGTTTGTCCATTTAGTTAGTTCCCCTGTTACATTTGGAGGTGTTAAGATTTACATTTACATTGTTTATTATCTCATAATTAAAGAAAGTAGCATATTATTTTGTTGTCTTTAAAAGCTGCCTTAATTTGCACTGAATATGAAAAAGTGTTTTTTTATTATTCTGTTTTATGTCTTATAAAAAACAAACTATTGAAACAAACTATTCCTTTTTTGTTGCAAGTTTATTTAACGAGTTCATAGGCTTTGTTCTTTGGATGTATGTTCCTTCAGTATCTCTTATGTTTAACAAAAAAAAAAAATTAAATCAAACAATTTCATTTGATTTCATTTCGCACTAATAAGCTGAGGAACATTTAAAGTTGTCAAATGTTGTGATTGGTTTTATATCGTGATGTATAAATGAAAAACAATATCTTGATACTTGAAAATCCTATATTGTCCAGCCCTATGTATAGAGTTAGAAAAAACAGTTATTTCATTTGATTTAAATGGTAGGTTTAATATTATGTTCACTTGTCAAAAATAATATTAAAATAGTAGTAATATTAAAACTGAAAGTTTTATTGATGGTTTTGCATTTTTAAAAAAGTGTTTTGATATATGTCATTGGAGCAAAATTATGCAGGATGGAAATATCTTAACATCAATTCAGTTTGCTTTTATTTACATAGCACAACTAACTAAAGGTCATCTCAAGGCACTTTAAGAAGTCAAAGACATTAAATCCTCCAGAAATATTGGTCAATAAGTTTCCCTCCCTAAGGAGACCCAGCAGATTACATCAAGCTTTCACAAGAAGTATTCACAATCACATTACGCAATTTAAAACTGGAAAAGCTTGAAAACTTACCTTGAAACTCCTTGAAAAGTACTTGAGTTTGAAGAGGGGTGGAACAACCTACCTCAGGGCCTTTGCCATCATCCCAAAGCCCCTCTGTTTCCGTCTTCTGTTTTGACATTTCGGAGGTGACAGTGGCATAGGATGCAGGAGTTTGTTCTTCAGCTGGAGGACTCCCAGTTTGAACTCCAGGTCTGTTCATCTCAGTTGTTGTGTTATTGGCCAAAAACTCTACTGGATGGATGGATGGATAGATAATTTGGGTATTTATAAACTTTTTCGCCATAGTTCCTAAAAAGTGTTTTAGTGCAGCAATAATGAACAGAGCTTGCTGACCCTCCCTTCTACATAACAATCAATTCTTCCGGCTTTTTCTTTTTTAACCTTTGGAGTTTAACTCCCTTGATATTTATTTATTTTTCATACGCAGAATGAACATTGACCAAATCTATGCATGCGCATTTATAGTAATATTTGTGCTTTTGAGACGGCACCAGACCGAGACAGAGGGTTTATCTTATGAGCACACGCACACGCAGTGCGAATGTTACTTTTTTTAACCTGCCGTCACCATCCAGCGGCTACTCTGCAAACCCCCAACTGGGGGGATTTTTTTGGAAATTAGTTAAGATTAGTCAACTAATCGAAAGATTAGTTGTTAAAAAATTAGTATTATAAAGCTTTAAAGTCTGCTGACTTAAAAAAACAGCAAATAGTTAGTAGGCTTTTTTTTTATATGTCTTTTATTTTCTTATATGTAAATTGTAAATAAATGTCAATGTATTCTCTTTGTTCTGTATTTATCTTAACATGTGATTAAACCAGTGCAACATTTGCTTATATAACAAAGTCAGGGTAATTATTCTGTTACCGTTTGTCATATCTTGTATGTTTCGCATGTTGCATTTTGTTTTACTTTAAAGTTTATTTACTTGAAGTAAACACGTCTATTTGTCTTTCTTTAAATATCTGGTTAATTCGATTGGCTCTGCTGCTTCTGCTGCTCACAAATGCACAGAGGCACCCTGTGGTTCTTATGTGGGATAACTTTAAATAATTTGATGGTGTGCAGTATTTTTCACAGAATAGGCATTTGATCCTTTAGATTTTGAATAAGTTCCAATACAGATTCAAGAGTAATGAAAAAATGAATCATTTATGTAAAAGTCCAAGTCAGCTCACAAGTCAGCATTTTTTTTAACAGTATTTAGTCCCAAATTTAATGACTCAAGTGCAAGTAAACTGATTTGAGTCCCCACCTCTGTTAAAATGTCTTATGCATATATAATAAATTAATTATATATATAACTTCTGATAAACACAGTGATAAATGAAATTATTTTGTTTCCTTAAACTCCTGCTTCTTGATGTCCCATCGATCATTGTATTTATGTTCGTTGTAGTTTTGGATCTTAACAGAAAGTATATTAGTAACTTCATGGGTTGAAACAGATTGAAGAGTATTTGAAACTCACTGCACACCTTTTTTGTTTCACAAAACATTTTATTGGATTTATAAAAAATTATATTTTTATTGAACTGTTATTTTTGCCCAATAAAACCACAACACCATGGATGCTCTATTTACAGGAGAATGTTAAACAGTGGCACAACATCAATGCTGCATACCCTTTATGTTAAGAACTTATATATGAGAAAGCTGATAATAGTATAACAGAAATAAAACATACTGAACACCACCAGCTCCAAATCTAGGGAAAAAAAATCATCTCTGTTTTTTTCCATAGAAAAACCTGCGACTATTGTACAATAAAAAGGATGTATTATTATGCACCATATATCCAGAAACATTGATGAAGGAGAACCAGACAAAGGGGTTTCTAATCATTAGAATTTAGCGTAGTTGTAGTTTCTGCAGAATCAGGTTCCCTCCCCCCACTAGCCTGAATGATTCATCCACTCCCTGGTCTCTACAATCTGTAGATCTCTGCAAATATTGAGAGGTGATAATCCAAACAAAATTAAGAGCTGTTTCACAAATGTGAGCATTTGTATAAACAAGCAACAGTTTCAAACCAAACGTTACAAAAGAGCTAAAGTCATAACAAACTGTACTGACGTGATAGTAAATGATAAATATATACTAACACTGAGAGATGGCTGAAGGAACCTCTACCATCTTTAAGATACCATTTGTTTACCAATGTTCTCTAACAAGGATCTGAGGGCTCAGTGGTTTCTTTATTGATGCTCCTCAAATCCAGGAGATTAACATGCAGCTTTCTTAAACCAGAGCTGCAACTAGTGATTAGTTTGCAAGCCGTTTAATCTTTCGATTAATCGGTTAATAAGCGGATAGCCAAAGATTCTTTAAAGAAGACTTTTTACTAAATTAAGCAAGGTGAAACTCAAACTTTTCAACAAGAGGAGTTCTGAATAGAGCATATCGACAGACAAAATTAGTTTTTTTTTGTCTTAAATGCAAAACGTTTATACATTTTTTACAATCTTATTATAATTGCTGCTCTAATTTGGTTTCTCTGACAACTAAAGGATTAATCGACTAAATTAATTGCTTCAGCCCAACTTTAAACTTTTCTCCCCGATCATAGTGAAAGCATGGGTCTGCTTTTGGATAGCATCTGCTATATGAGGGACCGCAAGCAGCTCCAAAGTCTAATCTCTGTCTTCCCCCGGTATATATTCAGGGAGATCCCTGCATAAGATAGCTCATCTTTCCTATCCATTAGGTCAAATGATAGGTTACTGTAGGTACTTTTCAAAATCTCAAAGACTTCCTGTTGATGCATCACCGAATGTGAAAACATCTACTTCCTCAATCTTCATTCATGATAAAACATGTAATGAAAAACTGATTACTTTCATCAAACACCTCTCTCTATGATTTCTCTTTTTTAATCTCATTAATCAGGGGGTTATTACACCTCATGCATACAATAAGAACACAATCATAGCCATTATCTGTCGCTCTACAGGTAAAATACAATGACTAATGAACTGAAATATTCTAACAGTAGATTCTTGCTTTTGTTTACTCCCTTTCCCCCACCAAATCAAGCTAAAACAAACTGTGACTCAATTTATTTTTACCAGCTGTGTATATAGTAGTCTGATGACAGTTTCTGTCAAACTGACACCATTATCAGGAGCAACTCAGCTTTAGTGCAATCAAAAAACTGTTTGGGTAAATGATAGATTAGTGATTTATCTAATTATTTACATTTTTGTAACTTTTGTTTTAGACTGTTAAATACTCAGCTGAAGCTACTGCTACATGTAGAATTTCACCTGACTTCATACCAAACCCACTTCCTATTTTTTCATTCATAAAAAACCACCTACTGACATGAAATATAGATGCGGTATATTCCTAGAATATACCGCATTGGGTGCTTTTGTCTTGCATTGTCATTACGCAACTCAGCAAAGGAGAAGGGAGGTAATATGGGTGTTTTTTTTTTTATCAGAAAGGTTTTTAATGTTTGTCTTTTCAGTTTTTACCAGAAAACAGAGGAAAAAGATGGCACTAGATTAACAAAAGACTGTTTTTACTTTTTATTCAGTTTTTAAATGTACTGTACTTCTATAAAATGGAAAATTGAAAATAAATAAGGTCTCCTATAACATAGAGCTTAAGAAGGTAGGAAATTCAAAAAAGCTTAACTAACCAAAAGAGCTAATTACAAACAACTTCCAGACACGGGTCAGGCTAAACAAACCAAACTTCTCCTTAAGTGAGACTTCTGGCCCTGCCTTCAGATATAACTGCAGAACTGGTTCAGCCACGCACAGTCTAAAGCAAACAAAACTGACCTTAGATAATAACTTTCTCATTCTTGTAGCCAGGGAAACAAATACTCCACAGACAAACTGCTCTGGGGGTGGGGTGGGTACGCAGTCATGACCATTGTTTATTTTTACTGCAGATATGGGGCTGAATGGTTACCATACGGAGATATGATCAGGCTGAATCTCAGACGTGACTTGACTCCCTGTCATCTAGGCCATAGTTGAGTTGGTACCTTTACAGTACATAAAAACACTTCCATACACACACCTGCAACTGCACCCACCCTTGCAACACATACCTATTCATACACACACAGAGCATGGACGTTCCACCTCATCACCAGTTTTGGTTTCCTACAATACACATTCTTTTCAGTGGGAAATCTTCCTAACAAAACTGTCTTAACTTTACCAATAAACCCACCAGTTTTTTTGCATGATTTCACTTGTGTCCATAAACTTTCATTTATGGTAAAAAAAAAGAAAAAGAAAAAAAAAAACTCCATGTCTTTCATGTTGGAAGGGCTTCCTGCCATCCCTAATCGACAACTACTAACTATAAATCAAATTTAAGTCCGTTCTTTAGCTGGGACACTCCAAAACTAGAATATTTTTACCAGCTAACCATTTATTCCCTTTTGTCCGATTATTTTCGTTCTTGTGATTCCTTATAATGCCCAAAACCAGAATTCTTCAGACTTTCTTATTTTATTGTTTCAGAATCTCTGTAAATATCTATTTGTCTTTCTCTCTGGTTAGGTTGTCTGTCCAACAGGTTGCGACTCCACCCAGACTTCATCCTGGGTCTGGATCCATGCAATTCAAGCCATTATGTTCTATTCAGTTCAATTTGGTGTATTTACAGTATATGCTGCCAAATCACAACACATGTCATCTTAAGGCCTTTTACAAGGTCAATGCAGACAGATTGGTTAAAAGTTTTGTCAAGAAAAACCAGTTGATTGCATCCAGTCACAAACTTGCAAGAACTTCCCCTAATGGATGAGCTTGCAGAGATGAATTTCGCTTGCATATAGCACTTGATTCTTCAGCAATCCCTCACACGGAGCATGCTTGTAGCGACAGTGGAGAGGAAAACCCCCTTTTAACAGGAAGAAACCTTCAGCAGAACCAGGCTCAGTGTGAGTGGCCATCTGCTGAGGCTGACTGGAGATAGAAACAGAAAAACAAAAAGAAGCAGATGTACAAAAAGTAACTGTTAACAAGCTCTACAGGTATCACTGTAAGAGTAAGAGTAAGAGAAACAGGACTACACTTAAAAACAGGCCAAGCTCCAACATCTATACACAGGGATTATGATAATAATAATAATAAATCCAATTTGTACCGCACTTTTTATTAACAAAAATCTCAAAGTGCTACACAGTGCCAATAAAATCATGAAAAAATTATGGCAGCAGCACAGCTGATATTTCAGTCCAGGATGGACTCCAAGCCAATCAGGAACAGAGCTAGATGGAGCTAGTATGATGGGAAAAAGATAAGTGGACATAAAGTTATCAGTGAAACATAACAAATACTCCAGAACTGAGATAGAATGAAAAGCAGAATTAGGAAAAGTGGTCTGTATGTCCTCCAGCAGCCTAAACGTATAGCAGCATGAATATCGAAAGAAATCTCAGGATAACTGACTATTTTGGATGAGGAATGAGAAAGGTGCTGGTACTGACACTGCTACTGCTGAAGGTTGCTACTGCTAAGCCTGCAACTGCTAAAGGCTGCTGCTAACACTGCTTGCTTGAAGTTGCTTGCTTGGAGGCTACATCTTGGTAACTCACAGTTAATTAAAAGAAATGAACACTCAGCAAGCTGATCTAAGTGACATTAACTAAGATCTATTGTAAAACTGAAAAAGAGGTGAGTGAGCACGTTTCTGAAGGAGTAAGAAAAAGAAGAGCAGAGTTGTTACCTGCAATAAAGGAAGCAAGAACTAGAGGAGAATTTGCTGTCATTAGCTACAATTGATTCATTGTGAAGCATGAAAGCAGGGATTAGGATTAATATGATCCAAATGCAACATTATTCATATGTGGTAATAGATTCAACTTTAAACCTT